TACAAATAATACAATAACATTCCTGTGTTTAATACATGAATATTGTTGCATAAACACTCGGAAAAGCATTGTTGTTTATTAATATTTTACCCACCCGGAAAACTACCCCTCGATTTTTAAGGCAGTTCAATAATATTGAACTGTACCCGACTTGAAGCACGTGTTCAACGCCACTGGTTATACATGTTAATATTCTCATACTTATCGTTTGCCCGTGTGCAGCCGGGCTCAGCCCCGAGAAGCGTTTTTCTTTTTAACTCTCAACACAGCCGAAACCGAAGTCGTCGCGATGTCCTTGTCCGCTGTGTATTATACCGCAGCGGGCTATCGATTTTCTTCCCCGCATATCATTATGCGCACGGCGCGTATCACATACGTATAATATTATAATAATATGACGTGTTGTGCGTATAATATATAATATACGGAATACAATAATATTATAATATGATATATATATATTATATATATACTACACGTACGCACGCACTACCTTACACTACCGTCCCCTCCAGCCCAGCCACGAACGGATTTCTCGAAACGATATTAGTTGGGAGGGGGGGACCACGGTGTGGAAATCCGAAGAGGGATCTGCGCGCCTATATAGTGACCTCTTTCGTTTTTTTTTTGTCGTTTTCGAACCGCGATTATTATTATAGCAGCAGCTGCAGGAGAATAGGTACAAGAAATACCTGAAGCTACTGCGTTTTCGGCGGTTATATTAAAACTGAAATTATATAGCTTCTGGTATCTCTCACGGATGGCGTCTTACTTTTTTTACTCAAAAAAAGAAGTTATAAAGAATTATATCAACCTATTGATACAAACCATCGTTACGGAATTACATTTTTTTTTATTTGTTGAAAATAATAATATATACACTCTTTTAATGCATTTTACAAAATATCTTTTGACTATAATAGGTTTATACATTAATTTATTATTGGAGGTACCTACTATAAGTGTCTATGTTATTAACCTAACCTCTTAGTAATCACGGAATATATGCAACGGTATTAGTGCAAGTAAATCGGTACTTGGGAATCAACTCTTACTCAGCCAGAATCGCGTCCTTACTATCGATTATAGTAGTGGTCGTTGTGCAGGTCAGAAGAAATACACACACACACACACACAGAATATTATAAACAAGAAGAGATAAATTAAACCATTCAACCGACCTAGACTAACAGTATGCCATTTCGAATTCTATGATCGGAAACGACGCTGTATTCCACGAAACCAATACAATAATAATATTGTTATTCAAATGCGTCGATCGAATCGATGAATTTCCGCTTCGGTGCAGACTGTATAATAATATTATGTGTACAGGGTGATTCATTAAGCTTCAATAGGTCGCACGGGGTAAATAATAATAATTTAAAGTTCCCAAGACAACGTAGCTGCTTAATAATATTTTGTATATAGCTGTTGATTACACGCGTAGGTAGGTCTAAATGTACGAGTCAATCCTAATCCGTTTTATTCAATCAGCGAACATTCCACCAAAGTCGATTTTGTTTCAAAATACCCCTCCGGATCAAAGTCATATAACAATAGTCATTGAAATAAAACCATACTACTCCACACTCTATACGTATACGATAAGTCAAATTTATATATTAGTCAAACGCTACAGGGTGTAAGGTTACCCTTACGGTCGGACACTAAAAGGGTACCGACCACCACGGTTCCGAGACTGGTTAGGTAGGATTGTGGATTTTAAACATTGAGATACACATTTTAATTTGAAATACAGATTATATATTTATTATACATTTTTTTAAAATAATATTGGTAGCACCAGAAATTTGTGCATGAGTAATGAGTATATACATATAGATTACTCGACACCTGTAGGGTCACCACGACGTTGGCCTGGTCGCAGCCGCTGTTGTTTTTTTATTGTTGTTGTTGTTGTTGTTGAACTGCGTGGTTTTTCCACCCTCCGACTTCCGGGTGACAGCCCTGGCCGATCCAATTGTCCTACTCCAAAGCTGGGGACATTTCACACTTGGTAGGAAAACTGTGTTGCGCCGATGACCATGGTCAGGAAGTGAAACGGCGACTGACCGTTCGGCAGCAACGCAATGCCGTGGTGGCGGCCTTTCATGTGTATATCGATATAATAATAAAATACGATATGAAATTCGTTTATATATTTTTGTTGTATGTGTGTGTGGTCGGGCTTGGGTTCGCCTTATCTCTCCGGAATTTATCCCGATATTGTGGCATATTTATATATATGCGACCCATAAACATATAGCGACTTCGGTTAGTACCACGGGGATAATTTAGTCACTTTACAAGGGATTTGCGAATCATTTATTCGGGTGCTGGATGTAATCGGCTGATCAAACGACGGAAAGAAAAATTCAAACAGACGTTTGGGTATTAATAATCGTTATTGTTCTGTTTGATCTTGGTTAGTGCAGGGGGTGTTGGTACTTGGTAGTCTGGAAAATACACAGTTTTAGATTCTGGGCGTAGCGAAAGAATATTGTATTATTGATTTTACGACAATATGAGTGTTTTTTTACTGGCTATCGTCAAATTTTGGGACAGTGGAGATACTTCGATTTTCTACTTCGGCATATCTTCTAATAGGAAATAGTGAATTTAGTTGGTGCATTTGATAGGTTTACTCTTTCCGCAGCCAATCACGAGATACTCGACCATTTTCTTCTGATAGCATGGTAATACATTTAATTACATCATAGCGTGACTTAACGTTTATCATTATTATTATTATTACCATCTAGGTATTATATAATACTATTTAAACCGTTCATTAAGACTATTTCCGGACGTGTGTGTGTGTGTGTGTGTGTGTGTGTGTGTGTGTGTGCGGTTACTTACGTTTCGGAAACTCGTTAATTCTGTTTCCAATCGTGGGATGTAGGAATGTAGTGTAATAATATTAATAGTATCCAGATCCCCCCAACCTGAACTTTTTCAGTGAGTTCATTCCACGTGAAACACTGCGCGAACGGCCGTCGTAATCGAATGCGTATCCTTTCAGACACGCCGACGCTGTTGGTGTGATATAATTATTTATAGTAGTCCTAAGGCTAGAATTTTAATAAACTGACAATTGTAATATCGACTTTAAATGAGCACCTCGTCTTCTGATTTTTCAAAATGAAATTACTAAAATAATCGTTACTTTGATTACAATCTTGATACAGATCGAGCTCCAGACAAAAAATTGTATTTACCGTGATCAATGATAAAACATTGAATCATGGGCATGACAACATCCCAACCATATAAAGATAACCAACATTTTATTTTTCAGTAACACAAACAGCACAATATTTTCTACTTATCGAATATTTACCATAAAGACACAAAGTATAGGTAGGTGCCTCTCAAAATCGTCCAAATCCTTTATACAACAACAATTTTACTATAGAGATACTATATCTATAACGTTAGACCCGATGGTGTACGAATTGTATCACGATAGTGTGTGAGAATGAAACGAGATGAAACGACACATATTATTATTAATTGTATGAATATTGATCATGAATTAAACATTTTCGGGGCTGGGGGTATAACGTGTGTTACGTATCAGGATAAAATTAAAAATGTTTCGGTTCGTGAAGTTTTGAAATGAAAGTCGCACTACCTATAATAGTGTATTATGTTCGTTTGGACTATAATAACAATAATGAATATTGGGCCTACAACCACGCACACAGTCCGTGGCCGTTCTGAAATAATGATAAATGATAAATCGCTTAAAACTACTGTCTTTTTTTTTTTGTTTTGTTTTTTTGTAAATATAGAACCTTATACTTCCGTTTCCGTATCGAATCCTCCTCCTCTGTCGTCGTTCCACGGATAGTTCTTTAATCACGTTTTCATTTAAATTAAACCTGGGGCGTTAAGATTTATAACAGAGTTACGCGTATTTCGTTTGATTCGGACTCTTTGAGTGCCTTTCACTCATTGTTTCGCTCTCTACCACATTATATTATTATATTTTATGTAAAGATACACACAGTATCAATTTTTTATCCCGCTCCGTTTCCAATCCGTCCCTCCATCTCATATCTCTCCCTCTTTTTCTCTCTCTCTCTCCAATCTCTCTACCTCCTTCTCTCGCTCACTCTCAATTTCTCTTGTCGCGCATAATATAATATATTATTATATTAATAATTTTCCCTGCGACTCTTTTTTTCATTTTTCCACCACATTAATTTTCTCCGGTGTTGTATATAATATTCTCTATGGTTTTAAAAATGTTTACTCTCATTATTATTTATGCGAGAAAAATATTATCCGATTACGAGCGGTGGTCTGCGTTGTGCGCTTCAAGCGTCGGTGGGTGGGAGGATGCCCGACTCGTGCGTAGATATTATTTATCGTTAAATTTTGCATTCGCGTGAATCAGCCGACCTGAATCCGTTTTTGTTTTTAACCTCGTGGAAACAGAGGAAAAAAAAATTGGTTGTTTTCACACCCGAGCTATGAGCGTGTTTAAGCAGCAATAGTTTATACTTTGTAACGAAACTATTAAAAAGCCTTACGAAACCGTATCAGATCTTTAGTGTATAGTTGTGAGTCCGACTTTTAGACTTTTCTCAACTCATACAACTATCTATCGATAGTTTCACTTTATTGAAAACTGATTCATAACTACTATTCATCATTTAAACAAAGCAAACACTGTGACCTAAACCAAAAGCTGGCTCAAAAAAAAAATTTAAAGTGTTAAAGTTGACATATTTTTTCAGCCCACAATGCACTTTTTTAATATTATGACACTTAAAGTTGTAAACTGGTTTTTGAGGTCTCACTTTTAGTCGAGGTCACGGTGAAAATGAAAAAAAAAACAGAAAATCGATGTTCTGCCCACCTGATGGCACGAACACACCCGCGATTACCGAGTCCCTTTTAAAAATACACCTCAAAATTAACTGAACAATCACAAAATATCATAATAATATTACCAAATACTAATTACTGACCTGCTTTCATGTTTTTCCATGTCCGGCGCCGCATGGACCTCTTCAGCCCGCTATACGTGCACCGACTGCGGAAAACACTACGCGACATCGTCAAACCTGTCGCGGCACAAGCAGACACACCGGAGCCTGGACTCGCAGTCGGCCAAGCGGTGCAACGCTTGCGGCAAGGCGTACGTCAGCATGCCCGCTCTCGCCATGCACCTTCTCACGCACAAGCTGTCGCACGCATGCGGTGTGTGTGGAAAGATGTTCAGCCGGCCATGGCTGTTGCAGGGCCATCTGCGGTCGCACACCGGCGAGAAGCCTTATGCTTGCGCACAGTGCGGCAAAGCGTTCGCGGACCGGTCCAACCTGCGTGCGCACATGATGACCCACTCGGGCGACAAGAACTTTGCGTGCCACTGGTGCCGCAAGTCGTTCGCGCTCAAGTCGTACCTGAACAAGCACCTGGAGGCGGGCTGCGCGCCGGCCGCCGCGGTGGCTGCTGCCTCGTCTCCGCCGTCGCCGTCGTCACCGCAGCAGCCCGACGACCGGGAAACCGCCACCCGGGGTGGATAACGTCGTCAAGCGGCGCCGCAGCAGCAGACGCCCCGGCGGACATCGGTCATACGGTTCGCCGCCGCCACTGCAGCCGCCGATGCCGCCGATGACACCATAGTGTTGTCGGACTAATAACGAACGACGACTTAGTAGGACGCCGACGACCGATGCAGCCGCCTCCGCCGCCGAAGTAACAATTTTTTTAAAAAAATATCGTAAAGGATTTTTGATTAAATTTTTTTTATTCATCACCCCCCGAAAGACACGGAACAGACAACTGTGACACCAAATATAAAATAATCATATTATTATTTTTATTATTGTATTAGTGGTACAACTATGGTATAATATTGTTGTATTTAGTTTTTAATATCGATATCGGTACGTTTATTATAATATAAAATTAAGGACATATAGGTATTTAAGGATAGGTTTTACGTATTTTTTACTATACATTATAGCTGATAGCAGTATTATCACCTAGTCATTAAGATAACGCAATATTATTATTATTATTATTATTATTATTATCATCATCATCATCATCATCATCACCACCACCACCATAACCACAACCACAGCCTGTGCCTAGCAGTTGTACCTCTAAGAGCGCGCAATTTATTTACCGGTACACCCATATCATGATAATATTGTTATATATATAATATAGGTAGTGTGTTTTGAAACGAGCAATAATATTATTAATGTTATAATATATACATTAAAAACAGTATTAGGCTGATATTATATTTTTAGAGAATCTTTTTTTCTATCGTCATATCGATTATTATAATATATATATGCAGACATATATATTATATTTATATTTAGCGGTCCTCGTCGAGGTATGTATGTTTAATGCGGATTTTTTTTTCTACGACAATTTTTACGGTTTGACCATATAATATTGTTATAATACTCGTGTATCATTAAATCAATACTACGATAATAATATTATTACTATGTGCGTTCGATCGACAGTTATAATAATATTATAATAGATAACGATAAACGGTTTTAATTTACGTTTTTTTTAACAATATTATATTATGCTTTTTGAGCCGTTTTTGGATTTTGACTATTGGGTTGGTATTATATTTTGATGATTGAACAAAATTGTATGATATTCAGGAAAATATTTGCTCAAATATTGCAAGGTGAACATACGTAATAAAAATATATCATGTTTTTTTCTCATTTTACTTTTTTATACAAACCTATATATTTATATATATATTATATGCGCGATGAATGTTTCAAATCAGTTCGGTGTAATATTAAATTGTTGTGTATCGCTCGATAGTTGAAAATTGAAATCCAACGGAGAAGTTTTACAAAATAATTGTACTCGTACACGCGGCAAAAGTATAATATATTTAAGCAAGTCGTAGTATTTCGTTAAAACATCCATAGTATAATGATATAATAATATTATTACTACCATTATCATCATCATACCACTCGGCGGGTATCGATTTCACAAAAAAAAACCAACAAAAAATTATGTACAAATATTTCATTAGGGTATATCATTATTACTAAACATTACATTGTATGAACACAACAAAATAGAATTGAATAATACATTAGCAGGCTGTGATTTTAAAATTTAAACTGACTGTGTGAACTATTTTCGTGCTATATCGAAAACGGTTTCAATTTGATTTCGACACAAAAGTTTCCATTACAAAAAAAAAAAAAATACGAAAAAACTCATTTGTTTAGCAAAATTTTTATTACTTATAAACTTTTACGATAGTGTATTATTATATAGTGATTATATTATTATATTATAAACATTTTACCATTTTTAAATTTAATCAAAGGCTGAGTACAAACATATTATGTATAATAATATGTATATAATAGATATTATAGTAAATAACAGTTAGGTATAGGTAGGTCCATCCTTTCCTGTTGTCAAAACGATTGTCTGAAAATTGTAGGTGAACCCTCCCCCCCATATAATGGGGCGTAGCAATGATCACCGAACTTGTTCGAAGCGTGGTCGTTTGTTGTTGGATTAAAAATAATATTTTGTATTTTACACCCCTGAAATGAGAATTTTTGGGAACATTAATGGTCGTCGTCTCGAAAACGAACATTTTTATCGGCCTCGTCCAGAGCACACATTATTGTCATCTCGAGTGTGGCTCATTTGAAAGGCGTTCAGTGGAATCACGCGATCTTGGAGACGACGGGAGACGTCGTTAAAAAGACTTTTAAAAAACTCACGACTTTGGCCGACAATTCGGACTAATAATAATTATTGTCGTTATGCTCTTCAGAGCAATATCAGAAGCTCGTCCGAATTAACGATGCGATTGAACTCCGAAATTATATTTGCTATCCTGAGGCCGATAATGTTATATTATTAAATTGTTAAAAGTCACAAAAAACTGTGACCTCTAAGAAGCTATTGTTTTCAAAAGACGAGAACAATAACAATAATAATATTTTTCCATTATCGTAATTATTATTATTATTTCGTTTCTGGAAATTGAATTCCCGTAGGGGTGGCGTTGGCGCCACCACCCAGAGTGTACGGTACGTTGAACGATGACGTCCTCGGTATGACGAGCACGATAAAAAACACACACCGACTGCTTTTTATTTTGCAATTTTTTTTTCGTCTCAAACACTTCCTCTTGGAAATCCGCGCTCACGGTGTTTTGCATTTTTATTGCGTCGATAATTGCATTTTTTAACGGTCGTTTTTTTACCGCGTCTAAGAAGTCCACACAATCGCATAAACATAACCGATACAATATATCAAAATATCATCTGTCTTGTCATGACGACAATAATAATATGTTTTTGACCGTCGTTAAGACGTGTTGGGTCGGCCTTGACCTGGTGGTTATAATATGCCCGTCTCGGGAGTAGATGATTTCTCTCCGATTCCGAGTTCGTAAGCTGCTGCCCAAAATAATATAATATACCGTCATACCATGATTACATTATTATTATTATTATTATTATTATTATTATTATCATGTTCAACTCGAGATTTCAGAAAATCGTTTCCGACGTCCATCCGCATCGAGTCGATCGACAGTTGTATTGCAATACTTTAATTGTACATCACTAGACATTTATAACATTGTACGTATTATTCTAAGTTCCCTCGTTATCATTATATTTTGTATTTTAGGAGTAAACGCGCGCAATAGTGTACACACGAAGCTTCCAATATTTTATAGGTACGGCGCAGTGTACTCGCCACGCGTTGGCGTATATAGAGAGACTTGTAATAATAATAATATAAATTATATATTATTATTGTAATAACTTTGGCAATATTATCATAACTTTATAATTAATACTATATGAAATGTAGAGAGAGAGAGAGAGATGAATCGTATTTTTTAGTATTTTATTCTCGGTAGCTTAATTTATAATATTAAAATATTAATTATGGTACTGTACGTATTAATATAATATATCAATTTACATATAAGTACATATATATATTATGTATATACATTTTATTTGCTTTACCGTTTATCATTGTACTGTATATACCTATTATAATATAGTAATGTAATAATAATATTAATCATTACGCATTTATACAAAGGTAATATAGTTTTAGGCGCGACGCGTATATACCACTATGACATTGCAAGGTGTGAGCGGTAATAATATAATATTATTATCATCATCATTATAATCATCATCATCATTATTATTATCATTGATTTTAATAATATTATTTTACATTTAACTAATAGATAGGGTTTTGGAACATGATCTATGAGACTATATTATAAGCCATTTGTATAACCACGATTTGTAATGCTCAATACAATTTTAAATGTTTAGTTTTATATATGACGCAACGATATAATATTATTACTATTATTATTATTCTTATGACATAATATTATACAGTACTGATCTGTGAACGAAAACAAAATATACGTTCGCCCGTTTTAGCTGTAATATTTATCACATTATTGTATCGTGTGTAAACGCGTCGTATTATGACCTGCCCATAATAGGACGCGCGTTATCGCACCACCATCGTCATCATTAATATTATTATTATTATTATTATTATTATTATTATTATTATTAAGTAGCAATATTTAAGAATTTTTTTAACATAATTTTTTTTAGCGTGTTTTTACCGATTTATTTTAATTATTTTAATATATGTACATTAGTTTTAAGTTGCGCTTTAGTTGTGTATTTGTAATTCGTATATGATCAACTATTTTATTACCTATTTGTGACGATGGGGCCGCTATTCGTGGTTGTAGCGATGTTCATAGGATAGCCTTCAGTGACTTATAATTGTTTTTTATTGTAATAATACCTCCACACCGGTTTTGGATACATCGACGAGTCGATCTAAATTATAATACAATCGAACCTAATCGCGAATCAGCTCGACGGTAAAACATTATAGGGACAATAATAATGTCTAATAAAAATGTATAACGATCAACGCCGTCGGGTCGGTATCACACTCGTCGCAATATAATATAGTTATTATTTATTATTTTAGTGGATTTTGTAGATCTCGGTGGCGACGCTCAAGTCCAACAAAAACAATTTCGCGTACAACGTAGGTACACATTATTTGTATAATATTATACGGAGGGTGCCCGGAGGAGACTCCCTTAACGTCGAGTGTGGACTTTCTGGAATCGCCGACGAGCGTCATCAAAACTTACTGTTTCTATGGGTCTGCCACCTTTGCTGAGATGACGTCCGTCCGAAACGCCCGAGTGCTTCCAGCTGAATAACTTTATCACTCTTATTTGCCAAGTGAAAAGGTAGAGATATGTAACGAAATGTAAAGAATACAAAAATATCATATAATTAACTCGTAGAAAAGTCGTCAAGTTCATACGTGACACACATTATTATTATTATTATTAAGCTTCTCGATTTTACAAGGACCCAAAGAATAATATTGAAGGGCTTTCTGCAAAAACCAGACAGGTCCACCGTTTTCGAAAATGAATTTTTCTACGGAATAAAACTGCAAAGAACCGATTACCTTGTGC